AATTTATTTATTTTCATCCAACGAAAGCCAAACTAATGTTTTCACATACCGTATAACTGATCGTAGAAAAGAGTCTGTATATGCCTCGGACATTATAAACGTGTTGACGTTTTAGACCCCGTGGCGTTTCACAACTTGGGCTCCAATTTCATCGCGTGGTAGTCTAATCATATTTCCCCGAAATAATTGTAAAGTCTGATTTTATTGATGCAAGTTGTTCAAGGGGGTATTTAAAACATGGACGCATAAAATGGGTAACCCAATTTTTCTGGGAAAACTTTTTATTCGATATCAAAGAATGAGAAAACTTGTTTTTTGGGATTCAATCGAAAGTATTGGCAGGAACGAAAAATCTATTCAAATAAGGTTTTTAGGTATTTCTGAGACAGAATGAGACCATGCGTAAAGCTACTTGAAATTATTCAAATCCGAAGGGTTCTTACTTCTAAATAATCACAACAAAATCGGAGTCGGAGATTGGTCAAGCAGTTTTTGAGAATTTCTAATTGTTTATCCAAAAACACCTGTCTTCCGGCCATCACTACTAGTTTATTGAGCAATATACAGGGTTCGTTCACAGTGCATTTTACAGCAAAATACACGAGTTTACATTGCCTATATGAATCACAAGCCATTCGGAAAGATAGTTGTTATTTTTATGAAAAAAAACGAAGGGTTACGATTGTTTCTTCTAAACAACTTCAAATATTTCGTGTTTGTAAGTATTTTTTTATCTGCAACAAAAAGTTATAGACACATCTGCTTTGTTCTAAAATGTGTATAATAACGTATGTTTTTCGAATATTGTAGCGAATCTGTTCAGTTACTTACAAATACGATATGTAATTTGTTTAGGAGAAAAAGGAAACCTTCGTTTTTCGCATAAAAATAACAATTATCGCTCGGAATGGCTTGTGGTTCATGTCGGCAAGGCAAACTTGTGTATTTTGCTATTAAATGTCCTTTGAATGAACCCTGTATATTACTCAATAAACTAGTAGTGATGGCCGGAAGACAAGTGTTTTGGGATAAACAATAAGAAGTTCTGAAAAACTACTTGACCAATCGACTCTAATTTTGTTGTGGTTATTAAGAAGTAAGAAGCCTTTGGGTTTGAAGAATTTCAAATAGCTCCGTGAAATTATCGTCGCATTAGCAATAAGTGGCGGCCATAACTTTTTTACTATTAGTGGGATCTCCTTACGTGAGGTCTGTATGTCTCATAAGTACCTAAAAATCTTATCTGGATAGTTTTTTCTCCCAAAAAACACGTTTTTTCATTCTTTGTTGTCGAATAAAGAGTTTTCCCACAAAAATTGGTGTACACATTTTATGCGCCCGTGTTTTAAATACCCCCTTGAACAACTTGCATCGATAAAACCAAACCTTACAGTTATTTCGCAAAATCAGGGGTATTTTCGGCTAATATGATTAGACTATAGGTCTTAAACATCCATTTAATGCCATAGATACATAACTATTTTAATTTCTGATATTTGTCTCAGTGCATTGCGCTGAGTAATATGCTTCTCACAATCTGTCGCTCAGTGCAAGGGAACGGTGGACATTAGGTTTCCTGTAGAGGACAAAAAGTAAGACTGACATCTAGAAAACATATGACCGTAAACCCATTTTACATCAATAATTTTTTACGAGTTTATAGGGATGCATTTATTTAAAGCCTTCCTTATTATGGTTTTACAGAATTTACATTAATGAACAAATTCATGGATTATCTGTCAGTACACATTATTGCTAACCACACAACCAATTCTTGCTATAAACGTTTTGAATTTTTTTTTTGTATCTCATAACCAGAAACCATATTGTTGAGTACGGTACTATCAAACTTCTACATATAGTTGAATTTAAAAGTTGTTCAATATAATGGAAAAGAAAACAAGGTTGGTACCATTGGATGTCCAATTAGGACAACTTATAATTCCGTCAAGAAATCTACGAAGTTCATGGATTTATTTGACGCCAAGTTCATGCATTTTTTGAAATACGGCCATGAAGTCGTGAGGAAATGCATCTATTTATTATCCTCAAGACAAATACTGTCTTGTATATTCGTCTATACAGGGTGTTTCTGTTTATTGTTGCATAACTTTAAGATTCGATAGAACTCTTAAAATTAATGCATAAGGTCTATATAAACATGGGTCGAAAAATGCGTGGCTTCCGAAATACAGGGTGTTTAAATTTACTTTCTAAAATATTTTTTTTTTAAATATTTCGAACAATATATGATGTATAACAGTGAAAATTGGTATACAAGGGTTTTTTGGTACGACAAAACGAACCATGGGCATAGTTTTACTGTAGCCGCTAGAGGGCATTCTCTACTGTACCTGTAGTGTATTAAAATAACCCAAAAAATTTTCTTAGTACAATTTTTTACTTTTTGAATAAAAAAACTGATTCTTCGCACTTTTCAACATAAAAAGCTCTCCTGTGAGTTTTCGTTATAGTTTTTGAGATATTTCGATTCTTAAGGTTCGATGCATTTTTAATTATGTATGGGGAGATAATATTTTTTTTTACATTTTCGATTTGGGCATTAGAAGTAATTAAGATGATCGTTTGGATTGTGTTTTTAAACACAGCAATAATTCCTAACTCCAAATAAACACAAAAAAACAGAATATTAATTTGTTTAATTTCCAATATTATGGTTCGTTCTGCCGTACCAAAAAACCCTTGTATATCAATTTTCACTGTTATACATCAAATAGTGTTCGAAATATTTAAAAAAACTATTTTAGAAAGTAAATTTAAAGGAAGCCACGCATTTTTCGACCCATGTTTATATAGACTTTATGCATTAATTTTAAAAGTTCTATCGAATCTTAAAGTTATGCAACAATAAACTGAAACATCCTGTATTACGATAGGGTAACCAGATGCGTCAGGGGCCCACAATAAAAAGCCTTCTGTGTATCTATTTTATATCTGCTGCATTTCCAACGATATTCGAGTTAAACTGGACTGTGAACATACCAAAAGAACATAAAAATTCCGTGACCCCTCGAACCCTGTCGGCTGGAAAAAATACGACTCCTGGAGCTCAATACCGATTCCATTAAAGTTTCATTCGACCGCAGTTACTCGCAACTCCAAAAGCATGTACTACTTGTTTCTGTTGCTGATGCGACTATATTGATCGTTCTGGTAACCCAAACAGCCTCACCTTGGAAGTTGGCTATCGGGAATTTTTGGTGACGCTAGAGAAGGCACATCCTACGAATAAAAGAATTGATTATAAAGACTTAGACAGTTTCACAACGTAAAATAGTGCTGAATAGCAGTAGCCATGGAATCAAACGTTCGACAGCAGTTTTCACTAACCTGTCAGATTTGATAATCTGTTGATTAAGATTGCAAACTGTCAAAACTGTCCTGCGCCTAATTAACATTAAAGCGCGGCACTGCTGAACTGTTTTACATTGGCTGAACTCTCCCAGCGCCTCGTAAAACAGTTGATGCGCGTCTTCTATAAGTCCAATAGCTGATTGATGCTTCTATTTTGGTGTTGTTGAAAAAACTGGTTACATAGTAGCTGATTTCAGACGGCCTAGATGGTATAGAAAAATATCTGCTTTTCGGGGGAACTGGGTTGTTGGAAATGTAGCAAAAATCCATAAACGCATATAATTACTGATACGCCCAGATGACACTTCTTCTGCTCAGGAAATATTAAGAAGCTTCTGATCTCGGTAATTCCATACATCTATCAGACAAATTAAAAGGGTGATACGTTCAAATCACACCAATTGTCCTACACATCTTCCGATCCACGACTTGGCAGCATAGATACAGCTTTGCGTCCCCAATCTTCTCTTTGCGTCAACCCAGACCATAGGCGTGTGATGTAATATTTTAGCACGGGTTGGTGGAAATTCTGGTGACGGCGATAGGAATATTTGAACATAACTGCTGCTATGGCTAAAGTCAACGTTCAATTTGGTTTTCTACAATCCAGGCCGTTATGGAGGTACTACGATGGCATCGAACTTCGTCATCGAGAACCCTAACGGTATACATACGGTAACCATGGCAATGTTTAATGAGGTTCTTGAGGAATCGAATGTACCTGGTCCAATTTTTCCTGTTCAGCCAGAATTACATAATAACAAATCCCTTGATATCTATTGATAATATCATCATCACTTCAGTTTCGTATTTTTTTGACTGTACTACTGGACCTGTTTTTCTTTTTCAACCTTTTGCTTAGACTGATATTTTGCCGACAGACAGAGGAGAGAGTTCCACGTCTCATCTACGGTAAGTTTCTGAAGGACCCATTTGGCATTGATAGTTCGCATTTCCTGTTTGTAAGTAAGTATTTCAAGGCAAGTGGTTTCAGGAATTCCAAGATTGGCCGACAAGGACCTCAGACATCCCCCACTGCTTCAAATCGTTCTTCCGTTTGAAGGTCAGAACTGTGGGCCCCGCCTCGATGCTCTCAAACGTAATATATATCTTTTTCTTTGAAAGTTCGATACCATTTGCGAACCGAAGAATCATCGAGCGAATTCTTCCCTATTACTTTGTGCAGTTGGCTGCAGAGTGTCCCTGAGCAAGCGAACACTTGATGTTGACCCGTTGGTCATACGGGTCAAAGGATTTTTTAAATCTAAATATTTCCATTGACCCATTACGAGATGATGCGAGCAGCGCATAATAATATACGAACTACCTCATACAACGAACATCGTGGAGCTACCGTGTGAAAAGCTAATGTTGAATAGCTGAAGCATTCCTCATATATTGGCCATATGCGTGACAAATCGCAAATACGTTAACTAGACAGGACGCAAAACTCATACTTGAATAGTTCCTCTCGAAAAAATAGGAACCCGCTTATGTGTTACAGACAGAGGAGATGCGTTGAAGTATGCTCTAGATCTAGACTAACATTTCGGTTCAATGGATTTGTAAAAAATATCGACAGCTAGGTAATAAAGACGAGATAAGTTGATGTAGATAGTGTACAGAACCGCCCCAGTCCTTTGAGAATAAACAAGGAGGTGCTCAAAACGAATGTAATGGAGTGGACCAGATGGTATGGAGAGGTGATGAGGGACAGATAAAGAGGCGTAATGTGGGGTTAGGGATCGAGCTTTTGACGTTCGCTGCTTTGAGATAAGAGATCAGGCGATATTGGCAGTAGCTATCTACGGCTTTGATATATGATAGAAATTTATCAAACAGCGGAAGCTTTTATTCATACAGAGTTGGAGTGTACTTGTAACTGTCTTAACAGTTCACAATCACCATATCAAGGAATGTTCACCCCACTCAGTTTTTATCATATTTTTCAATTTCCAAATACCCACTGAAATGAACACTGAATACCAAATTGCGACTGATATAAAGAACTTTGAAGATCCTGTTGATACGGGTTTTGATTTAAAGATCAGTAAAAGCTTGCAAATAATTTTTTGCGCCTACTTGCAGATCAAAAGAAAAGCTCTATTTGCACCACTCTCCTGTTTGGATTTGAATTTGTATTACGCGAAGTCGGAATGCGAAATAGTGGAAAGTACTTTCTAGCCCCAGACATAATTTCTAGCTCTTTGTTTTTGTTATATCATGTTTTTGGCAATTTCTACTGCATTCTTGATAACTGGAGCTACTTCATTCAACATAGTACCCTCCTTTAGGCTATCATAAATGCTATCTTAATCTATGAGGCTGTTGAAAAACACAGTTTACTGGAAGTGCAACCGAACCATCCTGTGTGATACTCCTCAACCAGGATATTCTCCTTCTGGCAATACTTCGCTCATCTCTAATCTTAATCTGCAAGGTTAGTTGTAACAAGATGTACGTACTTGTATCCATAGCTAATGTTTCATAAGTATCGTAATTTTCGGCAAGCAGTATATCATTTTCTTCAATTTAGTCTTTTGAGTACCGTGGAGTGTCTAACTAGCCCATGAGATTAAATTCAAACTATGGTTGGTTTTACAAAATACGCTTCATGTTTTTTAATGTACTCCAAATCTTTTCCATCCCTTCATTATTCACTCAACCTTAGGCACATCAGTTCATCACATTTCCGAGTCCCCAGGTGTGATAAGTGGTGAGCCTCTGTGGGAGGAGGATATCCGCATGTAAAGTGCTGTAATCGATTGATGTGCCTCTCATGATTTATATCATTCTCAAATTAGAGTTCGCTGTCTTCCCGCTCTCCAAAAATGTAATGCAATAGGTGCAGCCTTTATGCCTAAACTGGTTCCTCAGTATATCAATTGGATTTGTAAGATACTTAAAAAAACGTTCAAAAAAGCTGCGGCAAAATCAGTGATTTGCTCAGGTATTGACGAGTTCTTGAGTTCGACATTCAAAGTGGTCGAGAAAACGCAGTGATATCTCATTCTGCTGTGTGCAGCAGATATCAGATCATATTTGTGAGGACAATATGCTGTTTAAGGGATTGATAAAACACACAAACCATAAAAAAAGTTCCTTTGATCAAGTATTAACATGATCAAAACTAATGGAGCGCACAATGATATCTACGAGGAACAATGTTCAACCTGCAGTCGTCACGAGTAAAAAGAATGAGAAATCAGTAATTATAGACCAGTGACCAGCACCTTGTTTTTCAAAAATATTTGTACAATATACTATCGCAAAATCAGCGTGGTTTTCGTAACGGAAAATCAACCTCTACATCATTACATTTTTGTCGGTATGATCGGCAGATACATTATGGCGGACGACTGGGATCTTCTGCGATCTTAGTGAGACCTACGATTGAGTCAGTCATGATTAATTGTTGATATGATTAACAAAATTTGGAATTGTTAGGACGGAATATCTTTGGATAAAGTCGTTCTTTCCAAATAGATCGTAGTACGTTTTTATTGACTGCTGCAGTAATGCTGAAGTAAGACCTGTAAAATCAGATAAGACTAATATTGACGTAGGTATACCACAAGGGTTTGTTCTAGGAGCGGTTCTCAATGCAAATCAACAACTTGAACATTCATTTGCTTCAACCATTGTATCAGGTAAAGATGATACAAACTTACAGGACACCAGCAACTGCCTACCAGACAGCATCAGTGACTGGTTTGAGGATAATCAGCTCTTTTTGAACTGTACAAAGACCGCTTTGATGAGATTTCATAATATCCCAAGATCAATTACGCCACTAAACCAACTAAACTTCACATGAAATAACTTAACATTATAACCTGATCTGGAGACAAAATAGATGAATGTGATAGTTGAAAACAGCAATGTGATTACATATCCAACAAAATAAATTCACAATCCTGTATGATTGAATATATAAAATCGATATTTACCGGAAGCCAGTTATTGAAGTTGTACCACTCCCAGATTGAGTCTCGCCCGCGTTACGCGTTTTGTTGCTGGAAATTATGTTTAAATGCTCTTGAGCGGAAAAAAAACATAGTGGGACCAAAAATATTAAACAAGTCGCCAGAGTAGGTAAAACAGAGCACAATGACAATCTTTGAACATCTTTAAAACTAGGTTGAAAAGCTACCTCAGTGAAAAGGGTTATAATCTGTTAGTGATTTTATCAGTGTTTAAATTTCCATCCTAGATGCTGTTGGTTATTTCTATTGTTACAAGTTTGTACTTTCATGATTTATTATACTATTTACGGGTAATATTTATTATATATATGTGCGTAATGCATGTATGTATTGTGCATATATATTTTTTTTTATTCTGAGACCTATACACATTTATCGATCGGCTAATGTTTTATTTACTATTATTGTTATTATTATTATAAAAATTAACTGTACTTTGGTGATACAATAATACAAAACTTCAAAGCAACTTCCTAGGTTCCACCTCACAAGTCTCCATGTTACGCATGTATTAATAAACTTTGTATCAAAAAACCTTCCTGTTTCTGATACCCACGTCGCGCGTCTACCTCAAAAATTAAAATGTTATTGATCGTATACTCATATTATTTTGTGCAAGCACAAGTATTACACAGCTCAAACATCATCAAAAGTTAAAATGGCAACATTGACTCTTTCGACTGCTTATTACGATAATCGACCTCGTTCTTCACTTAACCAAATTACGTTCCACTGGACGGACAGCACTGAGACAGTGTTGCCATTATACTTCTAAGATGCTAAGTTATAGGCGGTAAACATACTTCATGAAATAAAACTAGACAATGCATTACGCTAGTTAATTCTCGGTACGTTAATCAAAATGGCATTTAATTTGAATCATTCTACTGTAAACCGTTGGACAGAGCTCTATTCTACAGTCCAGGGTCCCATGTACCACAATACAGTCATCACATCATAAGTACATCTACATGTTGATCCATACTGTCACTTCCTGTCTTCGTTATCAACAGTACTGCAACCAGTTCATTGATTAAAGTCAATGAATACACGATTAAGTTTCATGAAATAAAATGTATCCATATAGGAAGGGCTACACTTAGGGCATCCACAGCGGAAGCTATTAAATTCTTGTAGTGGCGCCTGTAACTATATAACTAAACTAGCCGTATACAACGTTGCTTCATGCTTTTTCGCAATCATCATAGTTCAAGTCACTAAAGACGGACAACGTAAAGCAATCAAGCGAAAGTAGTTATACTGAAAAATTCAGTATTGTAGTATACGAAGATGAAACACTGCTGCCAAACGAACGAGCCAACCACATGTGCTAGAACTTATCAAGTAGTTCTCATGTCAACAGGACTCAATTGTCTGGCTGCTAACACAAACCACATACTATAACATATGTCATAATTATTGCTTACTGTGACCTTTTTCTTCCTGATCACTTAATGAGGGTCAGACTGTCTGACTACGCCGCTAGATAAGCGACTTCACTATCAAACTCCACGGTACCGAATACTTTATCCCTTATTTTGTAGTACGCGGTGCAACAGCCTAGATAGTGGATCGCTGTTTCGTCCTCCTAACAGTACATGGGGCATATAAGGTCTCCTTTTACCCTTGGTATCGATAAGTGCCTGTTCAATCTACAACGGCCAGTAATCACGCCAACCAAAAGATAGAGTAATTCCCGACTTGTGTCCAGTAGCCAGCGCTTTCGACGTTTGTCGGGGCCCGCTACGAACCTTTTGGCCTGCCCGCAGTCGTCTCTCTCTCGCCATACTATTTCTAGGTCGCTGTAGGCCCATTGGTTCAATGCGACGCTGACCTGCCGTCTGCTTATATCCAGCCTAGGCTCGGGACCGATACAGTGGCTTCCGGCACCCTGCCTATAGTCAAATGCCAGAATTGATGACAGTAGCAGAAGTCATCGTGCGCCACTGCTTTGACGCTGTACCTTTTGATTACAGCGACGTTTACCGACAATTCACAAAGAAGCGCCGCATTTTCGAAGGCCTCCGCGTAATAGCAGTGGCGTACGATGAATTTCGATACTGTCATCAATTTTGGTATTTTACTATAGCCAGATAATCTCTCTGTGTGTTGAAACTGTGTAATTTACAACTGCTAACGTAGGGGTCGGTAGTGCCGCGTTTGGCTCATAGATGGCAGAGCCACCTCTTTGCACACGACAATGCTTTCAGCAGATCTATTTTCGCTTGTTTTCTTCCATTGCACAATGGTCTATCTAAGCAAAAACCTGAAACAAAAATGAAAAATCAAAGTATCAAAAATTAATTCAAATGATTACCTATTTTAAAGTACCTTTAACAATAAGTTGGCCATGGAATCAGAACTGTGCTAACACTACCTTTACCATTTGGAGTAAATGATGTTTGTGAATGTTGAACTATTGTCAGATAAAATATAGTGTAGCCTTCTCAACCGTTTGTAAACAAACTTATAGACTGCCAAATTGTAGCAGATGATCGGAAACGGTTATTAAATTTATTTGAAGCTGTTCTTTGAGGGGCCTCACAATTTGCTTCAAATGCCGTTCTAGACACAAACTGATATCTAATTTGGATTCAACGACTGCGAAAACGTATATGATACGCGTCTGTACTGGAATACTGAACTCATTTTAAAGTTACTGTTGGGGTGACCTTGAAATGACCTTCAGATGTCGACATCTGATTCAGACTTAGTGAACAGGAAAACACAAAAGACATGCTTGGGATAATCTGCTCGGATTTCTTTGAAAATATCCTTGATATAGTGACCT